TTTATTATGGGACACTGTCGGCACCCAATCAACTTGTTAACCTAAGTGAGCAGGAAGCAGTATTTTTCACATACAGTCTACCGCGGGCAGAGTCACGTGATCAGATGTTCAAAATGCATCATCGCAGCCACACCTCAATAGTACAGGTGATCTTTTTACAGAATGAAATTGTGCAAAAACGTATGATCACACCGGCAAATCTAATGCATCGCGCTTGCGTTTTTAAAAATATCGTGCATATTGTACTTATTGCTTTTGATATTTTGATGCTCCTCACTACAAACAAAAGGCTGACGTTTCCTTCAATAGGTTTGCCCCGCAGATAGTCACAGTGGCAGTGCTTTAGAGCGATTTGAATTAATTGATCGGAATACGGTGAGTGTTCATTTTGAAATGCTGTCGTCCGGTGGCCACCAGCAATCTGGCGTTGATCAACTGTTTATCACTGGACGGAACGGCAATACGAGAAGCATTGCATTCCCAGGGTATTTTCAGCCTTCGTCATTAAAATTCGTTCAACAGTTGGTGTATGTATGTATGTGTGTATGTATCTATGTGTGTATGTACGTGTGTATGTATAAATGTATGTGTTGAAAAGATTAAGTTCAAAAAAGTTCAAAAGATCATCTTCAGGATGAGCCATTTTCCAAGTATTGCAGATGTTTCCGTGCGCGGGTGAATTTTCAGCTGAAGCGACCGATTCTTAATCCATATGTCGAGTCATTCTTACAGCTGGGTACCAATGTGCCATGCACGTCTTGGCATGATGTAGCTCGTGTCATGCAGATATGTACTAACATCACACAAGCAAATTGGTGTCCGCGAAGTGACCATCAGAAACTGCGCTCCATGCTGAAAGGCAAAAACACGTGGTATCTATCGGTTTGCTTCTGGTCAGAATGAGTTTGAAGGCCTGCTTCTTGGGCATTCTTTTAGCTGCAGGACTGCCTCAGTCGAACCATGCAAGCACATTCATATGACTTTCTTTTGCCACATTCCAGTAAATTTTGCAACTTGTGTCAGTCGCCGAAACTGATCGACAGAAAGCTGGGGATGTATGTTCAGGAGGAAGGAGCTGACCAGTGCAATTCTACATCTACATCCAGGACTTACAGTTTAAAAGTAACATTTTCATTGCTCTAAATGGAAGTCAGACAGGATGTGCAGCTACAAACTAACGATAAGAAAACTGTTCTGGTGGTGTCAGGAACAAAGCCAGATTGTTCGAACTGGAGTACGATGAAGATTTCCTGCAAAAAAAACTTCAAGAACTACAGATTTATTTTGCCTTGCTATTGTGAGGTATTGTCGCGCCTCCATTACTGCAAACATCATTTCCACAACTGCATAATCCTATAGTCAACTTGCAACTATCCCTTACTGCGTTTTTTTCCGCAGTAGAATGCTGCGTATGTCTCAACGCGCCGATCCGCTTAAGCAATCCATCAGCGCGACAATTTACAATCCTCGCATGCTTCTTTATGACGACTACCGCTGGTAGAAGGAGGGATCCATGTGTTTGGCATAAGTTTTCAAGTATGCCAAAAAAGGTACAGAAATACACGAGGCCCAGTGTCCTGATGTGATGCGAATCCGGCTCATTTTACTTATGTTTTATTCCCCAAACTTAATTAGTTGAATAAAATTATTTTTTATGCATTTTTATAGCAGCACTATAGCGCCGCTACAGCCAGCAACCCAGGTTAGAACGCACCAGGCTTGCCAGTGTGATCACGCGTTTTTGCACCGAACTTGAAGTACTCAGGTCATTAACTGCATGAATGGTTATTGCTTTGCACCTACTTTTTGCACTCACTAGCGTAAATCACCATAAATTTTGTATAAAGTAGTGTACAATTTCCATTTAATGGTCGTTCTTTGAAAATAACCTCGCCGTTCAGTGACCAATTTTCCCGCCAAAACATTTAAGTGCCCGTACGTGAGAATTTAAATGTATGTTCCCCGCTCATACACAAGTTAAAATTATCAAATTCAGCCACCAGCATGCGCGGCCCTCACGTACGGCTCCGTGAAAAGTTTTGGCAGGGAGAATTGCTTGCTCGGGAAGGAGGAAAGCTGAGAATTTAAGGGGATGTTCCCAACCCGCGTATAACTTAAAGTTATCAAATTCAGCCCCTAGGGTTGTTCCCAGCCCACGTACAACTTAGTTTCAAACCCAGCCCCTAAGTATGCTCCAAAGTCACGTGCGGCCCCGCGAAAGTTTTGGCGGGAATATTGCTAATTCGGGAACTAGAAAGGCTGGAAAGCTGAGATTTTAGCAGAATATTCCCCATCCAAATACAACTTAAATGTTCCAAATCCAGCCTCCAGGTACGCGTGTTTCCCGCGTACGGACACTTAAATTTTTTGCGGAAAAATTACTCATTGAACAGCTGGATCATTTTCAAAAAACCACCGCTAAACGGGAATTGTTTGTTTTCCTTCATGCGAAACTTACGATGATTTACTGTATTGAACGCACAAGGTAGGTGTGAAGGAATAACCATTCATGCAGTTAACCTAATTCAAGTCTGGTGCAAAAACGCATGATCGTACCGGCTCGTCTGATGTGCCGCAGCCTAGGTTTTGTCAAATCCTTATACATATTTGCCGTTTACTACTATGTTTACAGCAAGAGTTGGTTAGGGACTTTTATTTGGTTATTTGGCGCTTCTCAATCGCATGAAGATTACACATGGAACCCACCGTCCATTTGTTACGAACAAGCAAATTTTCCAAAACACACTATTGGACTGAATTTGCGTTGTAGGACTCAAGGCATTAGAAAAAAATATTTTCCTACCTAATTAACTGCTGCTCGCACAGAAGTTAATTATCCAGAAATTTCGAAGGGCAATTTATTTCGGATACAGAAATACTCGAAGCCATATCAGGTTGTCAAGCACCACTTGGCCTTTATTACACATGCAAATCATACTTCATACTAGCGCTGCACCGCCTCTGAAAGTGCGATACGAACCACAAAATTCGCACTTTTTTCCGGCCAGAACCAGCAAAGTTTTAAGTATTTATTTGATATTTAACATTCAATGCAAAGTCAATAGTTTTAATCGGAATTATAAATTCTATTTAAAGCGAAGTTGTCCGCTAATGCAGAATGAAAATGGATTATTTCGCAGATCTGTACACCGTCACTGAAACAACTGCGGGAGGAGGACCGTCAGCACGATGGAAAGCTCGAACGGTACTGGAACTATATGAAGCAGGTTTGCGTTCTTTAGTCAGTCGAATTATCTCAATTCCCATTGTTATCAGACATGTTAGATTCATGGATTTATTGATGCGTTCAAGGAGGAACATGCTGAAGGTAGGGTATAAAATGCGTTTCCAAATGAATGGCGAGAGATGCTTCAAACACTTTATCGTGACTATTACACGGTCATGCCTGTCCATAAATTTCCTCAGTTGCTGAACCGATCTTAAAGAACAGACCTCAGCAACAAAGCTGCTTAATTTCGATACTTTGCCTCTCCAGCATCCTCCTGAACCTCTCCTCTGTTGTATCACTCATTTCTCACTTGCTTACTTAGAATCTGTTAACTTTGGCAAACAGACTGCTTTCAACTGGTGACAAGGCTAGTTGTTGCGTTCGAAACATGCTCCATAAACAGTTGCACAGCTTCCAGCTACGTGAATTTGTCTGAAGCATATCCGATGATGTGAACAACTGGAACTGCTCTAAACCTTGCGGCTTCACCACTGGGAAATTTTTGGTTCGGATTTTCACCACGTTCAACGACGGGAGCACTAAAAAATCTCTAAATTCCAAATTTCGAGTGTTTTTTCAGCATAGCTGCGGGAAAATGCACAATACAGTACTACTTCATGAAATCTTGCGCTTACTATTCATCCCACCGATGTTGGCAGAATCACTGTTATTAAGAAATTCCAAAAAGATATTAAGAATTTTGAGTAGTACACGTAAAAGGCTATCAGATGAGGGATTTTAGGGTGTATTAACTGCAGTGATTCACATTATGGACCGCTCAAAACCGGAAGCAGATAGGGCACAACAGTGTCAACGTCTCTGTGCGACCTATGGAAGCCAAAAACCGATTTCTGGATCGTACCATACTACACTGCTGCGGTCCATTGAAGGTTTCTGTGCTCCTGTGGACGTCTATGTTGCATGCATTTATCACACTATGAAATTTGATGTTATTGATGAGTAAAGACTTCAATCGCTAATAGTACCACACTGTGACATACGCTCACTAAAATAATTCGTTCCCGAATACCCCTCGAATGTTAAGGATGCACACGAGTCACTGACACCCCAAATTCCATGTATCCTTATGTGAGGATTTATAACGGTTGTTATGACTGCAGCAAATGAAAGGAAAACGTAGGTTTATTACACCAAGTTTAGAAAAATAAGGCCAGTGAAGGAGGCCCCAAATTCACAACATGTAAACAGCAAAATAAGCTGAAAGCCAAGTCGAAAACCAAACAACCACAGGAAGAACTAAAAGGACCAACCCGTTTTTATTATGCGTTTTGTGCTGTGTAACAGCAGTACAAAACGCACATTGTCACGGGGCTGTCTGCGTGTGTGTGTGTGTGTGTCCGCAACAACTTGTCCGCAACTTTCAACTCAGGAACCACAAAAGCTAGGAAGCTGAAAATTTAGGGGGACTTTCTCCACCCACGTATGATCCCGCAAATTTAAATTCAGCTTCCCCGTACCCGTGGGTAATACGTATGGCCCCATGAAATTTTTTTGTGGGTAAATTAATATCTCGGGAACCACGGAATCTAGAAGGCTGAAGTCTTAGGGTAATGACCCCCTGCCCACGTTCAACCTTGCCTATTCAAATTCAGCTTTCCCGCGCTCTCGAGTATTACCTACGGGCTTGTGAAAGTTTTGGTGGGTAAACTATTAATTCGAGAATCACGGCAAGATATTCGCCTTTCAAGGTTTCGAATTCAGCTTTCATGCGCTGGTGCGTGAAATTTTTAACTGTTTTTCAATGTTTGAACTATTTTGCTATTTAGCTTTCATACGCTGGTGCGTGAAATTTTTAACTGTTTTCCAATGTTTGAACTATTTTTGCATAGACAAGGTATGAAAATCATTAATAGGCAATCGTTCGATGGGCTGAATTGCACAAAACGCATGGTTGCACCGGTTAGTCTGGTGCACGTTGCTATTTACCATCATTGTGCTTAGCGAAATCTTTGATAAATGAAAAAGCTTAGGCAGAATACCTTTCGCTTCGTAGGAACCTCATCGGCGAATAATCAATGCGTCGAATATGGAATTTCAATTTGACGGAGTCATGGGAACTACCGTCATACTGTCGTGAAAAAGCGAGACTAACCGTTGCTGTCCACGAAGAAATCAGATATAGATAATATGTCAACAATACTCGTGTAATGGCGACTGATGCAAGTAACCATCCAGTGTTGCTCGTGTAATGCTCGAGTAACGCACAATCCCCAACGGTGCCCGCCCACTTATACAAGTAACGACCATTCCTAAGTGCATACTTGAACATTTTCCACAGATTACTTGCATTGAAGAGCCGCTGTGTTAACAAGTTCAAGTAACATCCAGAAAATTTTCGTGTAACACAGCCCGATCGCTCGTGTAACCGTCGGGCAGCATGGGGTGAGGCTAGAGCGCCGAATCTGGCGACAACAATCGCTCATCGCGTAATGAGACGGTTGTTTCATCGCATCCTCTGCTGCCGATGGTCGGTAGCAGAGTGCGACTTCTGGGGGTGAGTATGGTTCGTAATTTTGTGCTACGGCTAATAGTGTGATGTTGGTTGTGCTTGGTGAGGTTGGTTGTGCGTTGGTATGGTTGGTCGTGCGCTGGGGGAAGGGGAGGGGGGG